GTTGCCCAGGCGGGTCTCGAACCTGCGGGCTCAGGCAATCCACTCACCTCAGCCTCCCAAAGGCACAGGATTACAGGCTGAGCCACCGAGCCCGGCTCCTTTAATGTTATTAATTATGGAGAATCTCTCTCAGATGTGATGAATTTATCATGCCTGATATACTTCGGAGCAAAGAAAATCTTTAGAGCAGCTAAAATTCATCTATACTGCTTTAGTTCTGAAAACTTTTAGTTCAAAAGGCTATTCCAGATTGGTGAAAGTAAGACTCCTATTTTTTAGATGAAAGTAACAGGAAAAGCCACACAACAAAAGAATATTAGAAGATAGTTACTGAACCCCCAGGTCAGATGGAGCACCTTTCTAAGTCAAAGCATGAATCTTATGTCTGAGTTTGCTTTTGTGAGGAGTGATAACAGTTACCTCTGAAAGAAATAAGGGCTCTTTTAATCACTGCACAGATGATAAAGCAGAGAATGGGCTTCCAAGTGATGATGAAGGGACAAATAATAGTTGGGTCTACTTGGAAGAAGTTTTTAAAAATTCTCTCTGCTCCCTTCTATCACCTTTGGTGGGTGAATTTCAACGAGGAAATTTAGCCCTTTTTCACTTGAGACATCTCGCGGGTCACATACCAGCAACTTGACCACACTTTTTTACAATATAGTGAAAAACAAATCTTTCATATTAAATTAGTATAGCATTGGAACCAATTATTTTATTGTAATGATATTTGGCTTATAATGGAATTTTGACATTGAGGAAGTTATTTGACCAAAAAAACCACAAAGTTTTATATCTTATATTTTTCTAACATGGTAACATGTGAAATAGTCTCCAACATGACATGCATTGTAGGTTCGTTGATACATGTTGTGCAGTGGTAATTTGACATCTTCTACTTGGTGTTTTTCTATTTGAGCAGACAGTGCAGTCTTATTTTCTTCCCCCCACATTAATAATATGTAATTTGTTGTCCAGTATGTGCACCACTGTGAAAGTACTTCACACATTCTCTTTCTATGTAATAGCAGCTTTTTAAAAAATGTATATCTCAGTATATATTCCATCTCTTTATTTGTTTTGTATGCAATTTGAACAGAAAACTTCAAGGAAACATACATTTTTGAGAAATTTACGCTGGTAAAAGTTTGTCCTATATAATCACCAGCAATCTCTTTATGTCCCCTCTAAGGGTTAGTTTTTGGATTTCAATTTAAATAAAGACCCAGATGCACCTTTATTCTGTGTTGATTCTGCTCTTGTTGTGTTTAGGGAATATAGTTCACAGAGGATGAGGTGGTGTCTTTGCTTTAAGAACTTAGTCTGATTGAAGAGACAGCATATTACAGATGATTCGAGAACAATAATGATCTTGAGGGAATAGTTAAGACATTGAAGGTTTAAATGGTGAAATAAAGGCACTAAGCATTAAAGCATTTTAGAAAGAGACTTGATTTACTCCAAGTACCTAGAGATTGGGAGTCTTAACTGAGGCATCCTTAACTCTCATACTTTTCTGCCTCGGAGCCTCATTAGCACATTCAGTAGGAGGAATAAGTGAAAGGAAACAGTAATAATCTTAATAGGATATAGTAGTAGGCATTATAGTATTAATACTATAAAGTCCTTGTTATTTTATATTATATTTTCTTATCTCCAGAGTATGTTTTCTTATCTCCAGTTCTTAAACTAGATTGATACTGAACTTGGAACTCATTCTAAACATTAGATGTAGTTTGAAATTGCCACAATGTCACATTTTAAAGACTGTGTTTAAATTTAAGAAGTACAAGAAAGGAGCCAGCCTCTCAAAGTGTAGAGGTGTTCATTTACCTAAAGCATTCTTGATGTTTGGGGCCAGATCATAACATGCTTATCAGAAGTAGGCTTTTTATTGACTTTTTCTACTTTCTGGGATAGGTAGTGCTACCTCCTTGGAAGAAAGATCCCTTTTGTGATATCAAGGGCAATGGTTAATAAGTAGAAAATTAGAGCAAATGAAACTGATACGAATATTGCTTAAACAAATTTTGGAGTATAATGAAGAACTTGGATGTCATTTTATTACAGCCTCTGTTTAGGACACCATTAATCTTATCACCTCCGAGTTTTGACTTATAGCTCCATTTGACACCTCTTGCTTCTTCCTTTTTTCTCTTCTCCCCAGTGGGAGTTAGATAAGGGATATCAGGATTGGGGAAGCCAGACTTGGCCCTCTTGGGTGATGTGCAGCCTTTCAGACTGGTTCTGACTGTCTTACACAGCTATAACCAGAATCTGAAATACAACTGCAAAGGAGGCAGTTTGGCTTCGCCTTCTCTGCCTTGTTTCCAAGTCGTATGGTGGGAGAGGGAACACAGCCTCCAGTTGCCTAGACTCACCTCTGTCTAAAATTCCTCCTCTTTCATCTCAGTTCTTGAAGTCTTCACATACTGCTCAGTGGACTGATTAAGTAAATATCAGTTATTAGGAATAAATCTCTGTGGTGGAATGTTTGGGAAAAGGAAGATAGTTTTGAGCAAGGAAGCCTTCTAGTTCTTGCTTGTTCTAGCTCAGTACTACTCATAAGGTGGTTCACCCATGGACAGTATCAGTATCACCTGGGAACTTGTTAGACATGCAAATTCTCAGGCCCCACCTCAGACCTGTGTAATCAGACTATTCAGGGTGGAGTCCAGAGTCTGTATTTTTATAAGCTCTTTGGATATTTCTTATGTGCTGCATTTTGCTCTAGCAGATAGGTTTCTCAGTCTCCTTCAGCTTAAGTTCTCCTATCCTTTAATTCCTACCTCATCTGCTGCAGAGTAACAGAGTAGAATTCATTAGACTATAATTCCATTAAGACAGTGGTCATATCAGCATTGTTTACTGCTCTTCTCATCGCAGGGCCAGGCACACAGGTGGTGCTCAATAAATAGTCATCGAAAAAACAAGTGATTGGTATAGGTATTAAAATCAGGTGAAGACACCACAATGTATCTGATTACAAAGTTGAAGAAGTTATGGCTGTATTAGTGAGTGTTTCTTGGCACTGAGACAGTATTGCCTGCGACCATGGACTGGAACATTACTAGCTGTTTACAGGCTGTTGGTCACTGTGTGACCAGAAAGATCCCCCCCCCCACCCAATGTAGGTCTCTTACACTTTTAAACTGCACAAAAAAGCTTTGAAGTGAAGTCCTTGAGCTAGAAAAGGATCCTAGAACCACTGTTAAATGATTGTGTGCTAAACCTGCCTGAGAGTTCTGTCCTAACACGGGGCCTAGATAGTAACTTCTTAGGTAGTATAGAAGAAATGCCAGAAATCTTTGGAGGCTTTTCAGGTACGCTTGAATTGAACTGATTTCTTATTTCAAAGCAGTGTCTTCGTGCACATTTTATGACTGTGGTGTATAGCAAGTAGCTCTTGGCTAGATTTAGAAAACCACTTTTGCCACACTCTACACCTGACCAAGTTTGAATCTCTCTATGATACTTTACTTCCTCTAGAGAGCAACTTTGAAGACTTTCTGCACTTTTCTCTTTCTTGTTCTTCAATACCACATCTCACTTGGATTCCCCCAGACTCTGATAAGAGGCACTGTCACAAGGATAAATTTTATCTACCAATAGTTCTCCCAGAAAGAGCCTCATCCTTGAGCTTTCAAGAAGCACTTGTAATGTACAGCTTCCTGAGCACTGAGTGATACTTGAAAATCTGTAGTTTATAGTCTTGTCAAAATAGCATTTTAAATTACATTAGCTAGAGGGTAGCCATAACTCACTTGCATTTTTAACCTGAGGGGAGTACAAAGAGCATTTAAAATTGTGAGATTTTTCAGCTTAGATAGTTGTATAAAGTAGGTGAATTGCAGCTTGAAGAAGCTTAAAAAATTCTCAGGGTCTGGGCTCCTAAATAGCCTTGGGCTTGTCCCTACTATTCCTTACACATACCACTTTCCTTTTAGAAATGCTACCTTTATCCCTGTGGCAAGAGTAGACTGAACAGCATCATACTGGGAGGTTGGTGTTAGTGGTTTCTTTCTTGGCTTGTGTGTATTCCCTGCATACACCCCTGCCTTACATTCTTCTTCGTGGTTACACTTAATCTAATTCCAAGCCTAGTTTCTGCTTTGCTCACCTAGTGCTCATTGTTATGTCAAAGGTCACCTTAGAAATGAATATAGCCCCCTTTCATATTTTGGGAACCACTTTGCCATCGTCTGTGATATGCTTGGACTCAGACTACTTTGTGTTACCACTTGCTGCTGCAGAAGACAACTACTGAAAGAAGAGATTCTTTTGTCTGCTGGAATGACATACTCAATCTATTGTATTCCTTTCCTGTTGACCAGGAAGCCCTGCCACAGTAACTATATGTCTCATTGTCAAAAGATTGTTCTTACTTCCTCAGGCAGATCCAGCTGAGAACTAAGGCACCTCTCACTGCACCTTGTGCTGTTTTACACTTGGGATGGGAAGCTCTTTCAGGGATCCATACCTAGCAGGGGATGTGACAGTGAATGTCAGTAGTCCAGAAATGGCAGCTGGCCAGGGGATGGTCATATATAGGCATAGTAATTCATTTGTTAGATAGCAGTTGCCACCACTGTGCCTATTGCTATATCTGGCTTGATGACTTTTTCTGAAGGCTACTCCAGACTTAACTCAAAGGAGATACTTTTGAGTTTGAGCAGCGTTGATAAGTATAGTGTCTAATAGTTGGAGTACTTTAGTGGCTTGGGGTCCATGACACAGTGCAGAAGTGACAATCAGGTGGAGAAAGGTGGAAGGATGATTCAAGTATGTGTGAAATACTTGCATATTCAATGGTTATGGGTATGGTTAAATGCAGGACCAGATATTTTCTTCTCTCCTTATAGATTCTCAAGTTTTGTTATGAACTAGAAAGCATTAAAGAACCTTTGATGGGAATTCATACCCTAAGGACCCTGAAGTTTAACTCACTATTAGCTTAGGAAGCTAGGTTTGGCCTGAACTTTTTGGGCCAAGTTTCATATTGATTTTTTTTTTTCTTTTGAGTAGGAGTCTCACTCTGTCACCCAGACTGGAGTTCAGTGGCATGCTCACGGCCTCCGCAGCCTTTACCTGCTGGGCTCAGGGGATCCTTCTGCCTCACCCTTCCAAGTAGTTGGAGCCACAGACATGCACCATGTCAAGCTACATATTGATCTGTCTTTTAATCATGCCCATATTGCCACCCTGTGGTGGGTAACAGCCCAGTAATGGCAGCTGCCTCTTTTACAGAAAGGCGAGAGGACCTTCGAGGAGGATTTATGCTTTGCTTTTTGGATGATGGAGCAGGAATGGATCCGAGTAAGTAATGAGATGATTATATGTTTCTTTGGAGGAAGATGTAACAGTTTTTACAAAATCCTTATGTGAATTTTTCTGTTGCTTTAATGTTGTGACTAGAAGATCTACATAGGGAGTGAGAAATCTGTTGAGGCATTTCAGACTTAATTCCACTAAAGTATTTGCTGTGTCTTATCCTAATGTGGGATGTGGGATCTGAATGACAACCTGAAGTCAGTCAGATTACCTGTTTCTTTTTTTTTTTTTGAGTTGGAGTCTCACTCTGTCACCCAGGCTGGAGTGCAGTGGCACACTCATGGCCACCGCAGCTTCAACTTGCTGGGCTTGGGTGATCCTTACACTTCAGCCTTCTATGTAGCTGGAAATACAGGTGCACGCCACCACGCCCGGCTAATTTTTGAATTTATTATAGAGGTGAGGTCTCACCAGGTTGCCCAGGCTGGTCTCGAAACCCTGGGCTCAGGCAGTCCTCTTGCCTCGGCCTCCCGAAGTGTTGGGATTACAGGCATGAGCCACTGCGTCCAGCCGTTTACCTGCCTCTTGACATATCAGCTTGCACGACATCCTGGAGCTGTAACTACAGAGGTCTCCCCTAGCCTTCTTACCATATTCTGGGATTAGAGCATAGGTCTAAGTGATGGAGATTTGCCTCACAGTCGTGAATTTTCTTGGGTGAGAGCTTTTAAGTAGACAAAGCCCTCTTGAATTTAACAAGGCTCAGAACTCTGACTTTGAGGATCCTGGGAAAGAAATACAAACTTTGCACTTTCTCTTATATCGCCACTTCAGGTGATGCTGCCAGTGTGATCCAGTTTGGGAAGTCAGCCAAGCGAACACCTGAGTCCACCCAGATTGGGCAGTACGGGAATGGCTTAAAATCGTAGGTATACTAGAAGCCTGTAACAGGTCTAGAACAAAGTCAAGTGATACTCTCCTGCCTAAGAGTAGGATGAAAACTTTCCTTCTCCTTGTTTCTCCATGACTATAATTTTGGAGCAAGAGAAGAGTCAGAAAGCAGTAGTGGTTTTGGAGTAGCTTACCAACTATTGTCCAGCTGAGTTTGCCTTACAGATTGAAAAGTGTGAATGCCCAAAGCCTGTTGGGGCAGGAGAGACTATAGGTTTCTCTTGGTGTTGTGCCCTAGAACTGTGCCTCTCTTCCTATTGAAAATTCTTATTTTTATCCCCTAGTTGAGGATGTGAGCTCTCCTATGGGATTCTCCTATGGGATTGGGATTTGTCTGAGATAAGGGCATCGCCTCACAGTGTAGCAGTGTTTCGTAGCACCTGCTGCATGTCATGCTTTGTGCTAGGCACTGAGGATCCAGGGTAAGAAAGATAGATGTGAGCCCTTCTTCCTGGAGGACTCTCTCTATTCACATGTACTATAAGGCTCTATAGCAGGGACCTACCTAATGTCTTCAAATCGTTTGAGACTTTTTTCCCAGCCCTTGGTTCCCATTTGTGTAGTGTTTGGAATGTGTTGTTGTGGTTATGAGTAAAGCCCCAAGAGAAAAGTTTCTATTTCTGAAATGCTCACTTCCAGCTGTACATACCTTTGGTTGGAATAAGATTTAGTGGAATTGGAGTTTGTGCAAATGGAATCATGAGTCACATTTCTAGTCTTGCTATGGAAACATGATATTTAAGAGAGAGAGGTGGTTTGATCAGTTAACTGAATGAGTTGGGCCTCACGTGCAGTGGGTTTTGGGTGTGGAGAAGAAAGATACTGCTTCCAAAGAAATCAGGGACCTGGTGCCTGGACTTTGTGATTTATCTTTTAGGGCAGGAACCACATACCAAGCACTTACCATGTGCCAGGCACTGTGCCAGAAACTTTATATAGATGATCTCATTTAATCCTCTCTATATCCCTTTGAAGTATAAGTACTGTAATTCTCATTTTTCGTGAAAAAAAAAAAACTAAAGTTTATAAGGGTGAAATGACTTCAAAGGTTTAAAAATGCCTATGTGTAGAGCTAGGATATGAACCAGGTCTTTCTGACTGCAAAATGGAGCTACTATCCATTTCACTTCAACAAGCTAAGGTCCAAATTTATTTTTATTTTTATTTTAACGATGTGGGTTACGGTTCAGGATTAGGTACATAAGTGGTCATCGTATAGATGAAATTTGGGCCTCCCTTTGTTCCCCACTTCGCCTGGTTTGAATTCAGGTACCCTTAATGATGTATGCTTAAAATCTTATCTTAGCCATTTAATTACTTCTCTGAGCCTCAGCTTCCTCCTTTGTAAATTGAGATTGTAATATATACCAAGTAGGTTAAAGATTACATACTGTCATTGCTGAGAGCCTGGTTTCTTATTTCCCCCTTTTTGATCTTTCCATGGCAGATTCCTGGCCTGCCTTAGTGGGTCTGTGTAGGGCCTGTGTTTTTCACAGATGAATGATCTGGGGTGATTCTTATGCAGGTAATCTAAGTTCTCCAATACCAATCCCTCCTAGAATCATTGGAAACCCTGGCTTCACATCTGAATTGTAGGTCAGCTTCCTACCTAGTCCTATCTGTTCTGTGACCTCAGGCAAGCCATTCACCTCTCTGAATGTCTGCTGCTTAATCTAGAAAAAGGGATCTTAATTGCTGACATTCTCTCTTACAGAGTAAGGTTCAGAAGCAAAGGAAATGTGACTCTGAAAGTGCTTAGAAGATTGGGAAGGAAAGTGTACAGAAGTTGAGAGTGTTGTCAGCATATTTTAGTAGACTTTTGTGAAGGTCCTATTGAGATGGAGCCATCTAGTGTTCGAAGTAAACAGTGTAATCATTTTGAAGCCAATTCAGAAATTGAAAAATAGTTTCAGGTGGAGGTAATTTTGGGTGAGAATAGGACTGAGATGCCGGGAAACCAACAGAAAGGAGGTGTTTGGGGTTCTTGCTATATGTAGGCCCTAAAATCAGGATCAAAGACAGAGGGAAGACAGGTACAGAGTGAGAGTTTTTGCCAAATTAGGGCAAGAGCAAGCTTTGATAGAAGGCAAGATAATGTGCCTCATTTCCCTACCTGTGAGCTTCAGGGAGGAAGGAGGGCTGTGAAATTGTCGGGGGGGATAGCATTGCCAGCACTTTGAGTACTGGAGGAGGAAGAGAAGCAGGACTTGGCAGCCTCCAGGGCATCTCTGGATAGTGTCCTGGGAGTTTTCTGAGTGTTTGGGGAAATGGGGCATGGCATTCATTTGTGTGCTTGCCATGGCTTTCTGGTTTATATTTGTACATAGAAGAAAGTAAAGAGGCTTCCCACCTCCACCATCTCCCTGGGGTGTTATGAAGACTAGTGAGATAATAGCCAGAAAGCTCCAGAAGCTGCTCAGAAGAAAGGAGCTAAAGAGCTCCATTGTTCAGTGGGCATTCCTCCTGCTGGTGCTTCACACTTCTGCCCTGCTCTGCTGCCTGGAAAGGCCTGTCCCTGCCTGCTCCTTAGCTGGTTTAAAGTGGCCAAACAGGAAGGAAGCAGTTGATTCCATTCAGACTTTTGTTTTTTGAAAGTCAGCCTCAAGGCACAGTTCCCAGAAACCAGTTGCACCCCAAAGCAGAGACCTGTCTGTGTCATAATGAGATTGAGGTGGCACAACAATTCTGAGGCAGGAGATGACTCTAGTTACTGGACACAAGCTAATCATAGGCCTCTTTGAATACTGTGGTCAAGATTTCTATTTTGTTAGCTATGTTTTACTTAGCCTTGGGTTCATACTGTATTTTTGAGGACTTGTGAGTGTAGGGACTGAACTGACCCCTTGATGATGCTGCCATCTGATGAGTGGGCAGGAGGAGAGCTTGTGTCATCCAAGGAAGGACAGAATGGGAACCTGGTGTGGTCACCATGGAAGATGTTACCATGTAGGTACCAGCTACTAGAGTAAAGTTTACACAGTTTAGCTTACACAGTTAATTACCAAAATGTTTTGGTAATGGTGGCAGAGGGTACACTGACTCTCATATGGCTAGGATGAACCTGGAGCTCGAGGACAGCAGGTATACTTGTTAGCATTGTGACAGTAGCCTGGGAGTGAGACTAATCTGGGACTGGCCGTTGGCAGTGAACGTGCCCTGGAAGAGTGGTGAGAGAACACTGTATGGTGAGTAAGTGTAGTTGAAAGGGTTGTAGGTAAAGGTTGTAAGGAATTGCAGGCAGGTGGAAAAGCAGAGCAAGTGTCAGAAAGGTGGAGAGGGAACAGGGACTATGAAACTTAACTAGGATCCTGGGACCCAGGGAGGCCTTTAGGAGGGTTTCAGTCACGCCCACAGGGTGGATTTATTCCTTTTTCAGATGAACTTTTTAATCTCTGGGAGAATAACATATTTCTGCTTCCCATTTAGGGGCTCAATGCGCATTGGGAAGGATTTTATCCTCTTCACCAAGAAAGAAGACACCATGACCTGCCTCTTCCTGTCTCGCACCTTTCATGAAGAAGAAGGCATTGATGAAGTAGGTCCTATGCTGCTGTCTTCATTGTAGTCTAAGAATGTGGTCTGTATACCAGTCCTCTGAAACTTGTTGAGGCTTTATGATTGGACCAAATATGTGGTCTGAATTGCTACTCACATTTCCCGAGTGTGTCCAAGTTGTTTTCATAGGTTGTTGGCAGTGCTGGGCTCTTTGAGTTTCTAGGATTGGCATGCATGCCACCTAATTGTTAGCAATTAGCTGGTTGGATGAATTGGTTGAGAGGTTAAGGCAGATACCTTAATGTAAGAGGAAGTCAAATCCCAAAGCACTTCAGAGAACAGCTGTTTCTGAGGTGAGACCCTCAAGTGGCAGGAATTAAGAGTTAGATTTGCAGCTTCTTTAGATCTACCACTTGAATGCCATCTCTGGGGCCAATAACTGACTGAAGGGATCTCCTCTGTACAGGTTTCTTAACAGTGTTACCATGGAGAGGCTTTTTTTCTTTTTTCTTTTTCTTTTTTTGAGTTGGAGTCTCACTCTGTAGCCTAGGCTGGAGTGCAGTGACACACTCACAGCTACCCCAGCATCGACGTACTAGGCTTCGGCGACCCGTCCAAGTAGCCGGAAATATAGACTTGCACTACCATGCTTGACTATTTTTTATTTTATTGTAGAGACGAGGTGTTGCCAAGTTGCCCAGGCTGTTCGTGAACCTGCGGGCTCAGGCAATCCACTCGCCTTGGCCTCCCAATGTGCTGGGATTACAGGCTGAGCCACTGAGCCCAGCTTTTTTTTTTTTTTTTTTTTTTTTTAAATCAGAGTATTTTGGGCTTCCTTGTGTGTTGTTTCCACATGATGGTGATTTTGTGGCATGTGCTGTGATTGCATTTCCCTTTTGAGGAAATGTGTTTCTCTAACTGCCTATGTCATGAGCCACAAATCAGACACATGCCATATGCAGAGAGTCTGGATAGATGGCAAAACAGGTGAATGTACAGAAAACATCAACAAGAAAATGGCAGTTGATGCTCTGGGTCTCAATTAGGGAGTGGTTGCTATATAACTTCAGTGATTATTGCTATGCTGGAAGGAACATTTATTGAATTCAGAATATTCTGACTCTAAAACATTTTGGTAATTAACTGTATAAGCTAAACACATGCCCAGATGATTCTTTGTGTACTTGTGACTCAGGTATCTGCAGAGCTATTTCTGGTGATATCTGTGCCCCCACGTTGGGAGAGTCAGGATAGTTCTTTAGACTACCCATCCTTAGACTGGACTCTGATCTCCTTTGTGTGTGAGAAATGGAGGCCAGGGCTTGAGAGAAAGGGGGCTAAGAGTTTCTGTAGAAAGAAATCCATGGCTGTTACAGAAGCAGATAGTTGAATTCAGACTTTCAATTTAAATTAATCTCTATTGGTTAGCTGAGATTAAATTTATACTGGCCCTGTTTAGATGTGAGCCTCAATCATAGCAAACTAGTTCATATTGGGAATGGTAAACTATCTGTTCGCTTCATCATTACATAGCAGGCCAGTGGGTTTGTTTGCCTTTTTGGTGTGGTGTGTTAGTACATTCAGCATACTTGTAGTGAGAGAAGCATTGCTGGTCTTCTAGGAGAAGGTAGGACAGAAGAATGTAGCCTGGCCTGAGGTTTTAAGAATTGTTTCCTGATGAAGGACTGAGGGTGGTATAGTCAGTAGAAGCAGCCTGCTCAAGTCCCTGAAGGCTGTAGGAGGTGACTTGGAACAGAACCACCTGGAGAAAGGTGGTGACCTCTGGAAGACGGGGAGGACCAGGTTAGACTTGACCTCAGGGCCTTCAATAAGACCCTGTGTGGGACTTTATTAAACAAGGTTGTGCCAGTATCAGAGTTTCTCTTATAAAGATCTGTGTGGTTATGATGTGGTGATTGAATTGAAAGGTTGGGGATGGCTGGGCTCGGTGGCTCAGCTTGTAATCCCAGCACTTTGGGAGGCCGGGGCGAGTGGATTGCCTGAGCCCACGAGTTTGAGACCAGCCTGGGCAACTTGGCGAGACCTCATCTCTACAATTAAAAAAAAAAAATTAGGCGGACGTGGTAGTGCGCCTGTAGTTCCAGATACTTGGAAGACTGAGGCGGAAGGATCTTGTGAGCCCAGCAGGTTGACTGGGGTAGCTGTGAGTGCACCACTGCACTTCAACCTGGGCAACAGAGTGAGACTCCAACTCAAAAAAAAAAAGTTGGGGGTGAGTGCTGGAGTGTTCCTTTTGAGAGGTCTAAGCTGTGTGTAGCTGGTAGGACTCTCAGTAGGGCAGTGAGATAAATAGATGGAGTTGTCAACTCTTTAGGATGTGAACCCCAAAGATTGGTTAGTAGAGGGAGAAAAGGGAAGGGGGAGAGGCTCATAGGTTCTGCTGTTGCAGATGAGGGGTAGGCTGTATGGAGCTGGGGACGAATGGAAGGGGAGGATGTATGAAGGGGAAAAGTGTAAGTTTCTTCTGAACATGCAAAGTGAAGTCTCAGTCTGGAGTTTGGGGGAGGTCTGAGGGCTCTGGGATTCTTGGTAGCAAATGAGGGTCACCTAAAGGAGAGAGAGCAGAGTGGGAAGAGGTCCTGAGACCTAAGGCATGCCAGCAACTACAGGTCAGAGAATGGGGCCGAGGAAACAGAGGGTGGCCAGAAAGGTAGGAGGAAAACCAGGTGAGTGGTGTCATTGAAGCTTAAGAAGTGTTCCCATGGGCATTCATGCCCATGGTTGAAAGTGATGCCATTGTCACCTGAGACTGCTGTGAAGAATGGGAGGTATAGAGTGAGGTACAGATTCAAAGAACACACGTGGAACTCAATTTCCCTGGTGGAGAGGCTAGGTTGAGATTTTTTTTCCTTACTTGGTGCTAGAAGGTCACTATTTTGGATTGTACTCTAGTGCAAACTCAGCCAGGATTTCAAAATAAGATCATTTTCGACTGAGGAGGAATGTGTCCAAACTAGCCCTAGGGTTGAAACACTTTTAGCACAAAACTTCTTAGAAACCAGCAAAATGTTTCAGAACTCTTAAACAGTCGATCATCTTGGTGACATCCTGTGACAGGTTCCTGGGTCCTTGTTAAGATAGGGTCCCTTTTTCCTAAGGTGGGCCATCTGGTTTGTTGTACAGAGGGGATTCTTTCAGTTAGCTATCGGTGGGGCTTTGCAAGGGCTACTGACTCAGGAAGCTGGAGGAGCACAGTGAGGTCTTCGGGGAAGTGGCATTTGAGGCTGGATTTTTAAAGAAACAATAGTATTTTTTTTTTAAGCAAAATTTTTTGGTTTTTTTCTTTTTTAATTTTAAAGACGTAGAGGTACAATTCAGGATTAGGTATACAAGTGGTCATCATACAGGTAAAGTTTGGGCCTCTTTTTGGTCTCTACTTTGTCTGGTTTGAGATCAGGTACCCTTATTGATGTTGTGTCCCTGTCTCCCATTGTGCCCTCTCCACCCCCCCCACCCCCCGCAGTATCCTGCTACTGCCAAACCCCTTCTTACAGTATTATGGAAATTGTTCAGGGTCTGCTTACGAGTGAGAACATGTAGTATTCTGTTCTTTGTTTCTGTAATAGATCACTGAGTATGCTAGACTCGTAAGTACATCCAAGTTGCTGTGAAGTCCATATATTTGTCCTTCTCTTTATGGCTGCATATTATTCCATTGTATAAGGAGTAGGACTTTTTTAAACATTCTTTAGACATTATTAAAATTAGATTCCATCTGTTAGTGATGAGCCAGGTTGTGACAAACCCCCCCAAATTAAAATCCATATATATGAAAGAGTGCATTAAAATATGTATACAGTTGAAATGATCATTATAAAGCTAACACCTATGTCACCATCATCATAGACTAATATTAGAAGTCTTGTGTGCCCCCACCAATCATATTTCTCATTGCACCCCTAAATTACCTTCAGGTAATTTCTCTGATGATCATTTCCTTCTTTTTCTCTATAGTCTGTCACCTGAGTCTGCATCCTTAAATAATAGTTTTACCCGTTTACAAATTTTATAGAAATGGATTAATACTGTAGGGTTTTTTTGTGATCTTATTTCACGTAACATTGTGTTTATGAGATTCATTCATGTTGTTGCTGGAAGATGTTTGTTCATTTTTCATTACTACATAGTATTCTATTAGAGTTTAACTTAGCCACTATAGATTGGTTATTTTGGTTATTTTTATACATGTTTCCTGGTACATATGTACAATAGTTTCTCCTAGGATATTATAGCTAGGAGTGGAATTGCTGAGCTGTATAGGTTATGTTATATGTATCTTCAGATTCACTAGATAATTGGAAATATATTTTTTCCAGTAGTAAGAATAGAATTTTTACCAAATTAAGAAAATGGCCAGAACAATTCCAAACAGGGAAATTCCCATGCAGATACTCTTCAGGGTGTAAGCTAGCATATTCAGCACTATTTCTTAAAGGAACTGGTGATGTGTGGCTGAATCTTGGGAAGGACAGAAGCAACAGAGCCTCTGGTGCCAAACTATGGAACTTGGGCCTCACTTCTGGGACTCTGTGGAGAGACAAGACAGATGCACATTTTGGAAAAGACTCTTCTGGGGCCTCCCTTAAGTTGTCTGCTTGTTCTTACTCCAAAGGTGATAGTCCCATTGCCCACCTGGAATACTCGGACCCGGGAACCTATCACAGACAACGTAGAAAAGTTTGCCATTGAGTCCGAACTCATCTATAAATACTCGCCCTTCCGTACTGAGGAGGAAGTGATGGCTCAGTTCACGAAGATTCCTGGGGACAGTGGTAAGTAGGCTTCGAACTTGAAGATCGTAGAATCCAGCAACTCCAGAGCCACAAGTGGTATGGGGATGGACCAGGGGCACCTAGCAGGATGAAAGGAGGATTTCTGTTACTCAGGAACATTGGTGATCATCTTCAATCTCAAACTCATGGATAATGGAGAGCCTGAACTAGATATCATCTCAGATCCAAGAGATATTCAGATGGCAGAGACCTCCCCAGAGGGCACGTGAGTATGGCTGGAAGGGAGGGAGGCTGTGAAACTGGTGTTCGGTCTCTCAGGAAATGACTTCAGGGAAGGAGGAGAGAACACATTCCTTGAATTGCTCTCAGTGGCAGCATTGAAGTTGATGGAGGTGATAGCTCCATGTCTTCTTGACACAAGGCAGAGGGCTGAACATAGAAGGACAGCATACCCTCAGTTAAGCTAAAAGATTAATGATTGTCTGCTCCAGCTCCCTGATTGCAGGGAGAGAGGAATTGCCCAGGATTCCATGGTAGGGCCAAGTCAGGGGTCTTTGGGGCTCCTGTGCTGGGGATTTAAGAGGGGGCAGAATGAGGTGCTCATGCTGAGGGAGCACCCTGTCAGAGTGGCACGAGAAACTGAGGTATGAGGTGAAAAGATAGAGAACCTACAGAGAGGATGTTGTGTGCCCTTGGTCATGTTTGTTATGGGGCGCGGGTGGCAGCACTTTTCTGTTCCTGCCACTCCAGGAAGCCAGAGCGACGCTCATTCCGTGCCTATGCGGCTGTGCTCTATATTGATCCCCGGATGAGGATCTTCATACACGGGCACAAGGTGCAGACCAAGAGACTTTCCTGCTGCCTATACAAGCCAAGGTAGGGGCCTGTGCACCCTGGCCCACTGTCTTCTGTGGGCTGAGGACTTGGCCATGTTTCTTTGGGGCATTGTTGGAGGACAGTAAGAATCTCTGACAGTGCTGATTGTTTGCACCTTTAAGTTGCCTGTGACTATTCACACAGTCACTTCTAGGTCCTGAGGGAAGAACAGAGGTGGCTGACGGTCTGTGGAGGTTAACTGGCTACGCTCATTGAATGTCAGTGCCTTTGTGGTGGGGGGAGGGTGCCCTGCCTGGCACAGCCAGCTGTCTGAGTCTCTTAGCTTCAGGGCCCTGGGACCTTTGGACACTACACAGGAAAGCAAAGACCCTGGCTTATTGCTGAGGTTTGTTTCTGTCATGGGATTAATGATACACCTGATGACAGTGAAGTTGCTTATCAAAAATAGCAGAAGACCAGGGGCAAGTGAATCTTTTTACTAAAGTAAGTTTGGCTTTGTCTCATTATGAGGGACCAGGACAGCATGGTTTGGAAAGAGGCAGGAAGGCAGGGTGCTTCCTCAACTTGGGTTGGCCACCTGTCTCACTGCTGCTTGGGCTCTCAGGTTGTGTTTTCCACTGTTCAGGATGTACAAGTACACATCAAGCCGTTTCAAGACCCGTGCAGAGCAGGAGGTGAAGAAAGCAGAGCACGTAGCACGGATTGGTAATGCCACTCCCTGTGTTGGTGAGGGGTGGGGGATGCTGCCAAAGCAAGGGATCCAGGAAACAGCCTCTGTTCACCACTCAGGGACAAGGCTGCTGTCCTATAAACTACAGCCCATTCCTTTTTAGCCCTTTCCCCCACATGTCAACCCCCTCAGCACTTACTCTTTTTGGACTCTACTTTCTCTATAGAGCCTAAAAATGTCAACTTTTAGCTTGCCCAGAGTGAAGAATTCTTCTGGACCAAATACGTATAAAATTGATTTTCCTTACTCCAGGGCAAAAATCTCAAGATCACTCATGTTAAGGAATTCTCAGGGGTTGTTGGATGCTTCATTGGCTGAAGACTTCTTTAGTTTTCAGCTTATGCTGAGAGTTTAACTCTAGTTGCCTTGGGCATTTCTTAATCTGTTTGATTCACTTGTTAAGTTCAAAAAGCACTTCAGGTTTTCTTTGGGGCCTCTGATAAGTTTAATTGCCAGATTTTCCTTCTTGAACTTACTCTGTGCTCTAGGCAGAGGCTGCTCTTGTGTTGCTTGTGTACCTCCCATAGCTCTTCCTTTCCTTGATGGTATATGCACTTCTTGTCCAGCAGAGGCTGTGCTATGAATATAGGAGGGATGACAGAGTTTTGAACTTTTGCATTCCTTATCATGATTTCTTCTGGGTTTCAGCTGAAGAGAAGGCGCGTGAGGCGGAGAGCAAAGCTCGTACATTAGAAGTACGCCTAGGTGGAGACCTCACACGTGACTCTAGGGTAAGGCCTGGGACCCAGACGACTGTCCTCTAGCATTTCTGACATTTGGAGCCTATGTCATGCAAGTCTGGTCAAGTGAAACACAGCTTTTGAGTTTGTCCCCAGTGAGGGCCATTTTCTGGTATATAGAAATAAATTTCCACACGTCAGATGTGGTTTCTTTTTTTTTTGAGTTGGAGTCTCACTCTGTCGCCCAGATTGGAGTGCAGTGGCTGCTCCCGGCCACTGCAACCTCGACCTGCTGGGCTTCGGCGATCCTTCCGATTCAGCCTTCCAAGTAGCTGGAACTACAGCCACGCGCTACCACACCTGGCTAATTTTTGTATTTATTGTAGAGATGAGGTCTCACCAAGTTGCCCAGGTGGGTCTCGAACCCGCGGGCTCAGACAATCCACTCACCTCAGCCTCCCAAGGCGCGGGATTACAGGCTGAGCCACCGAGTCCGGCAGGTGTGGTTTCACATTCATTTGAGTTAAAGTGAGAAATTTAAATGTGATGTTATAGTATTACTTGCTGTGACCCTGAGTACCACCTCCCCTCACCTGATAATTGATGTGTGTGTCCAGGTGATGTTGCGACAGGTCCAGAACACTGCCATCACCCTGCGCAGAGAAGCTGATGTTAAGAAGAGGATCAAGGAGGCCAAGCAACGGTGAGTGCCAGGGCTGTCCTTTGACTTTTAAAGTAATGTAGCTTTTGTACTGATTACTGACAGGTTACTATTCTGTCATCAAGACTGCTCTGAGAATGCCATTAATGTTGTGATCCCTAATGCTTGTCAAATGCCCCCTGAAGGAGGGAGGTCTTCCCCTGAGCCCTCAGCTCTTTCCTGAGTCAAGAAAAGGTAGGGCAGAACGACACCTTGAGTTGAATATCAAAACATCTTCACTGGTACTGCCTCACCTTTTCTTTTTCCCTTTTTCTTCCTTTTCATTTAAAGTATGTATAAAATGCTTATTGTAAGACTTGAAAAATAGAAAATACTTAATAAAATTTTAAAACTTCTTAGACTTCTACCACCTGGTGATAGGTACTCTTAATTTTTTTTTTTTTTTTTGAGTCAGACATCTAGGCTGGAGTGCAGTGGCACAATCATGGCTCACTGTAGCCTAGACCTCCTGGTCTCGGGTGATCCTTCCATCTCAGCCTCCTGAGTAGTTGGGACTACAGGTGTATACTACCATGCCTGACCTATTTAAAAAAAATTTTTTTTGTAGAGACAAGGGCTCACTGTGTTGCCCAGCCTGGTCTTGAACTTCTGGGCTCAAGCAGTTCTCTTGCCTTGGTCTCCTGGAGTACTGGGATTATAGGCGTGAGTCACTGTGACTGGTCTTAATTTTTTATGATATATCTATATTTTTCATATTCATTCTTTCCTCATTGGTTACAAATGTGGAACAATGCTGCAGATTGTATTATTCTACCACATTTGTGTACTTTTTCATTTAAAATTTGAATCATTAAATTATCTCCTTGTCCCACCTCTATGTCTTGAGCCTCTCAGGTCTGGGGCTTAAATTACTGTTTTGCTTTTTGTTGGCCTCCTTGCTCCACAGGCATGAGTTTCAAGTTTCTTCTGTCCAAATGAGTCTCCAAGTGAGTCTTCTGCTCATCCATCTGCTCTTCAACTTCCAAGATTTAGTTGACGTTAAACACTTCATGGCATCTTGTTTATTGTTCTTGTGAATTTTTGCCTTCTAAAAAAATACTAATTTACTGTCACATTAGTGGATTTTGGGGAAGGTATGAAGTTAACCTGGTGTTAATTCTACCACATAACTATTTGCACAGCGGCTTTGTAGTAACCCATTTATACTTAAATCCATCCCTGTTTTATTACCAAAAAGTCAAACTCATATGCTTTTAATTAGGGATGTTCAGAGTCAGTACACAATGCCTATCCCTGTCAAGTCTAACAGAGGTTACACATTGAATGGAGATGCAAAACTCTTTGTTTAACATGTCTCAAGCTTAAGCTCAGCATACCTTAAAACATCGTGGTGTTTGTGTGCTAATGGGTAAATCTGCCTAAATTTTTTTGTTGTCTTAGAGCACTTAAAGAACCTAAGGAACTGAATTTCGTTTTTGGGGTCAACATTGAACACCGGTATCTGGATGGCATGTTCATCTACAACTGTAGCCGCCTGATCAAGATGTATGAGAAAGTGGGCCCACAACTGGAAGGGGGCATGTGAGTACTACCCAAAGAGAGCTTTCCAGCTCAAGGTAGATGGCAGGAAGGTGTTGCCCATGGAGTGACGAACTGTATTCTCTCTCCCTGCAGGGCATGTGGTGGGGTTGTTGGGGTTGTTGATGTGCCCTACCTGGTTCTGGAGCCTACACACAATAAGCAGGACTTTGCTGATGCCAAGGAGTACCGGCACTTGCTGCGAGCAATGGGGGAGCACCTGGCACAGTACTGGAAAGACATTGCCATTGGTAATGGGTCTGGGTTACTGGGCTTCTGCTCTTTCTCTTCACTTGAATTTAGGAAGAGAGAGAGTCTGGCTCCTAATGTGATGTGTGGATGTTTGCCTTCTAGCTCAGCGGGGTATCATCAAGTTCTGGGACGAATTTGGCTACCTCTCTGCCAACTGGAACCAGCCCCCATCCAGTGAGCTGCGTTACAAACGCCGGAGAGCTATGGAAATTCCAACCACCATCCAGTGTGGTGAGTTGGGTGATTGGAACCCTCCTCCTTACTCGTTTTCATTAGTCCTTGACCCTTTTATTTCTGTCTTAATGCCAGCCTTCAGACTGGCCTGCTATTTGTGGACTTATGGTCCCACTAGAGATATGAGTTTATTTGGCAGTGACCCTATGAGCTCAGTCTTGAGGCTGTGCTAAGTTCTACCTGTCCCTCTTGAATGAGGCAGGTCATCTGATTGGCTCCCCATCTCCCCATGGCCTCTCAAGCTGCAGCTGGGCCTCATTTGGTTTGGTACTACATTGTTTCCAGTGTGAGAGTGGGTGACGGAACCAGGATCCTGCTAGAGGAGGGAGGGGGCATAACAGTCAATGAAATGAAGTTTTCAACCTTGCTGTAATCAGTGTTCCTGAGAAGAATTACTATTCTATGAGGACAGGCAGATCTGGAGCCAGAGTGAAGATCTTTGCCAGCAAAGTCTGGGGCGTCTTTGCCATGGGTCTGGCTGTGAGGAGCATGGATTAAAGATACAGTTGGTGGGGATGACTAACATATGGGGGTTTTCTGCTTTCTGCAGATCTGTGTTTGAAGTGGAGGACCCTCCCCTTTCAGCTGAGTTCTGTGGAAAAAGATTACCCTGACACTTGGGTTTGTTCTATGAACCCTGATCCTGAGCAGGACCGGTGAGCACCTTTTCCAGCAAGCCAATTGTGGCTACTTCTCCCTCCTACCCCATACTGTTCTCTCCTCTTCGGGAATAAGTAACTCGTTTCTTGGGAACAGTGAGTTATATCCTTAAGTCTGTCTTTTTGCACATAGTAAGTACCCAAGAAATGAGACTGTCCTGCAGTACTTATTAATTCCATCCACTGGGACCTCTGAGTTGGTTGTTCTTGTAACAGATGGCTTGGGTTGGCTGAAGAGGAAAGTCTTTGCCCTACTTGGAGCTCCATTTTACCACGGCCTCTCTAGTACCTTCTCTTTATAGGTGTGAGGCTTCTGAACAGAAGCAGAAGGTTCCCCTGGGGACATTTAGAAAGGACTTGAAGACACAGGAAGAGAAACAGAAACAGCTGACAGAGAAAATTCGCCAGCAGCAAGAGAAACTAGAGGCCCTTCAGGTATGCGGGTCCTGGGCAGTGGGTAAAGCCATCCTGTGTCAAAGCTCTGCCAGGGACAGGAACCTTCAGTGTCTCCCCTGTGCCCCTCAGTATCAGTTTCACCCTCCACACCCTCATGTTTGTATGCTTGCCAAAGCTTTCCAACTCCAGCCTCCAGGTCCAAACACACTTCTTTAAGTTCACCTTATTCTTTTAAAAAAGCACATTATTTATATACTTCAAAGTGGTCCAGTTCATTCAGAATGTGTATATGTAAATACATATATACATATATTTTTTGAGTTGGAGTCTCACTCTGTCGCCCAGGTTGGAGTGCAGTGGCCGCTCCTGGCCACTGCAGCCTTGACCTGCTGGGCTCCGGTGATCCTTCCGCCTCAGCCTTCCGAGTAGCCGGAATTATAGGCATGCACTACCACGCCTGGCTGATTTTTGATTTATTGTAGAGATGAGGTCTCGCCTGCCCAGGTGGGTCTCGAACCCACTCACCTCAGCCTCCCAAAGGTGCGGGATTACAGGCTGAGCCACCGAGCCCAGCTTAAATACATATTTTTTAAAGAAATATGAAGGTTATGCCATATATGTATTTTATGTACATAAAACTTTTTTTAAATGCATAATTATTTTATTGATAACTTTTTAGAAGTGTGAAAGACTTAAAGAGCTTACAAAATTCGATGACTTTTTACAGCTATTCTCAAATTATCCTTCAGAGTTTCTTTTTTGTTTTGAGTCAGGGTCTCATTCTGTTGCCCAGGTGCTATCATGCAGTGGCATGATCACAGATCATTGCATCCTCAACATTCTGGGCTAATGCAGTCTTTCTGCCTCAGCCTCCTGAGTAGTGGGACTACAGACAAATGCCACCATACCCATCGAATTTTTTAATTTTCTTTGTAGAGGCGAGGACTCTCTGTGTTGCCCAGGCTGGTCTCAAACTCTTGGGCTAATAAAGCACTCCTTCCACCTCAGCCCCCCAAAGTCCTGGGGTTATAGGCATGAGTCACTGTGCCCAGCTCCAGAGATATATGAATTTCAATTCTTTACCAGTGGTATAGGAGAGTTTTATTTTTAAATGTTTTTGCAGATTTGAAAGGCAAAGATACATATTTTATCATTTCAATTTCTTTTATATTTCTAAGGGTAGACAATTTTCCACATATCTACTTATGTTTCTTTTAGGATTGCTCAGTCACTTATATTTCTATTTTTTTCTTTAATTTGTCAGCTTTTTTTAAGATATGTTTGTGATATCAGCCCTTCATCATATTTTTATTTTATTATTTATGTATTCGTTTGTTTTTGAGTTGGAGTCTGACTCTGTTGCCCAGGCTGGAGTGCAGTGGCACTCTCATGGCCACCACAACCTCGACCTGCTGCACTCAAGCAGTTCTTTCGCCTTGGCCTCCCAAGTAGCTGAAACTATAGGCGCGTGCTGCTACATTCAGCTAATTTTTATTGTAGAGACAGGGTTTCGCCAGGTTGCCCAGCCTGGTCTTGAACTCCTAGGCCCAGAAACTTCTTTTGCCTCCACCTCCCAAAGTGCTGGGATTACAGGCATGAGCTGCTGTGCCCAGCTCTTCTTCATATTTTTTAAAAATAAAAAAAAATTTTTTTTTTGTTTTCCTCAACCTGTTTCTGGGTCACCTTTATCATATATATTATAAAAGTGTTTTCTTTTCTGTGCTCTTATTAATATGTGATGTCTTATGTTTGCCTCCTTATCTGCTCTCACCTGTCCTTCTGGCTCTGTCCAAGTTTCCTCCTCCATCAGGCCTTTCTCACCTTTTTGGGTTCCTTTTATAGGAACTTAGTCCATTAACACTTTTCCCCAGTCTCTCAGTTGCTGTATTAATCACATAGTATCCCATAACTTGCTGTTAGTTTAGTGTTTATGTATTTTTTGTCTCCCCAGTAAGATTAGAAAGCTTGTAAAAGTAGAACTGTGGCCTAGATTTTTCTATTTTATTTGCCCAATGTCCCAGACACATAGTGGGGATCCAGGAGGTTTGCTTGAATGTGCCAAGATATGCAAACAACTTCATCATCATGTTTGCCCTGCAGAAAACCACACCCATCCGTTCCCAAGCTGACCTCAAGAAATTGCCCTTGGAAGTGACCACAAGACCTTCCACCGAGGTGAAGTCCAGGGATATGGGGGAGTGACTTTTCTTCAGATGCCTCATGCTAGGATCAGTGTTCTCACTCTCTGTGGGCCTTTTTTAGGAACCTGTACGTAGACCTCAGCGTCCTCGGTCACCCCCTTTACCTGCTGTTATCAGGAATGCTCCAAGCAGACCGCCTTCTCTGCAGGCTTCCAGACCACCCAGCCAGCCTCGAAAGCCTCCTGTTACCAGCAGTGCTCTAAAGCCCCCTGCCTTGGCAGTCCGGGAGGAGGCCAGTACATCCAGGCTGCTCCAGCCACCTGAGGCTCCCCGAAAGCCTGTGAACACTCCAGTCAAGACTGTGTCCCGGCCCGCATCTCTGGTGCAGCCACTGTCACCATCTCCACTGTCCAACTCCAGGAGCCCTCGGGAGGTTCCTGTTCCCAAAGTTGTCAAAACTTCAGTGGTCAAGAAGCCAGAGCCGCCCACTAAACTCTCCCCAGTGAGAATATTTTCCTTCTCAAGTCCCTAGTTCATTGTCAGTGGTATAGGAATGGAAATATGTGGTGTCAGAGTGGTACTGGGGAAGATTCTGGAAGATAACCAGATCTCAAAGCTTTTATGCTGCCCCTGAAGAAGAACAGATAGCTGAAGGTGCTTGTTCAGGGGCACAGAGAAATTTGGTTACCTGTACAGGGAGCTCCTCATTGTCCCCTCTGACTTTTGGTTTGTCACAAAGTTGCGTCACCTCCGCTGGCTTCTTAAAGTGTGAGTATGGGTTGGTGGCCTGAGGCAGTGGTTGATGTGTATGAGGATGGTCATAGCTGGCTTGCCAGACAGGCTAAGGCAGGAAATGAACTGACAGGCTTCCCCCATGACAGCTTTGAGCAAGGTCCTCATGGTGCTGGGGTCAGGGTGGTGTTGCTTATGTACACGTACCGAGTAATGACAAGTGGGGATTGAGAGACGAACAGGGCCCTGTCTGAACAGCTCCTTTATACCAGATGAAATCTTTCTACTTCTTAAGGGTGTTGAACAGGGGCCCTTACATTCATTCCCACTGTCCTCTTGCTGTAGGCAACCCCTGGTCGCAAGCGGAGTCTTGTGGTCTCTGATGAGGAAGAAACTGAAGAAGAGGCTGAGAAAAGAAAGGAAAGGTGCAAGCGAGGCAAATTTGCTGTGAAGGAGGAAAAGAAGGACTTGAATGAGGTGAGTGGTTGAGGTGGGGTTCTCAGAGCCTCTCTACCCAGGGCTTACATCCTTCACCAGTAGTCCATACCCAGCTCCATGTGTGTTAATGACATAAACCTTCTAGAAACCTAGTTGATCTCTTAAGGACTCTGAGTCACACAGATGATTAGAAACATGGTGCCAGGTAGGGTCTTGAGTGAGAGGGTTTCTGGCTTTAATCAAAGACCTGAATTCATACTGACATACAAGGCGGGGGGATGGAAATGCTTTGCTTCCCTGTGTCTGGATATATACTTTGGACAGTAATTTTTAAGAGTGGCTGTCAGAAAGCATGGTTATTTAAAGTGCAGCATAGGAAGACATGAAGATGATGACTGATGACCCTGGATGTCCAGTAAAGCAAAGGTATCCTTTTTGAGCAGGACTGGGGATGCCTCTAATAGTCTGTTCTCCTTGCAGCTGTCAGACAGTGCTGGGGAAGAGGACTCAGCTGAGCTCAAGAGGGCTCAGAAAGGTGAGTTTGGGGATGTACTGGCAGCCCTTAGAGACAGCAGATCCCCTCACCAGCAGCACTTTAATTGTAAAGGCTTGTGGAGTCTTTCTTGGGTCTGGGTTCTTGTGCAGCAGTGGATCCAAGTCTAATCTCAAGCAGAAACCTGAAGATAGCATCCCCTCATGGTTATTTTTAACACAGATTCCTTGGTGTTCACCGCTGGCAGTCACTCATCCTTTTGCTCTTTGGCACCTTTGAGAAAGATGGGAAAGGAGATTGGTGTAGCAAGGCTCTGTGTCCCTGAATAGTGGGGGGCAAGCACCTATGGGTTCCTGTTCTCCAAACCCTGGGGGTTACCTTTCTCAAGGTGACCTGGGCTAAATAAAGTACTCCAGTTTTCTGATTTGCTCCTCTGTCTGAATTCTCAGATAAAGGGCTGCACGTGGAGGTGCGTGTGAACAGGGAGTGGTACACAGGCCGTGTCACAGCTGTGGAGGTGGGCAAGCATGTGGTGCGGTGGAAGGTGAAGTTTGACTACGTGCCCACAGACACGACACCAAGAGACCGCTGGTAATGCCCCCATTGAAGAGGAGCAATGGTTCTCTGAGGAAGGTGTCCCTGGTTCATCTGCCAGTGACTTCCCGGTTTTGTGTCATTATAGGACATACTTGACACAACCTGTGTGTTCTTCATAGGGTGGAGAAAGGCTGTGAGGATGTGCGGCTGATGAAACCTCCTTCTCCAGAATATCAGAGCCCTGACACACAGCAGGAGGGCGGGGAGGAGGAGGAGGCTGTGGTGACCCAACAGGCTTTGGCCATGGCAGAACCTTCTACTTCTGACTGCATTCGTATTGAGCCTGACACCACTGCCCCAAGCACCAACCACGAGACCATCGACCTACTTGTCCAGATCCTCCGGTAAATGTGTCTCCAGGGCCAGCAACAGGTCTCCACCCTCTCTATGCCTTTCTGAATTCCTGTCCCCACCTTTTCCTTTTTTCTTGCTTAGGAATTGTTTACGGTACTTTCTGCCTCCAAGTTTCCCCATCTCCAAGAAGGAGCTGAGTGCTATGAATTCAGATGAGCTGATATCTTTTCCTCTGGTGAGTTTGACCTGACCTTTGATTTCGCACTCTTCATCTCCTCCCCCCCCCCCCCGCCCCCGCCCCCAAACTTGTTGCGATTGCCAGCCCTCAGCCACTTGCCCCATTGCAGCCAGTCTGCCTCTTTTCTTCTACAGAAAGAAAGGAAGCAGAAACATGTTGTGGAGAAAAAGTGACTTAGCTTGATAGGATTCTGGTGTGCAGAAAACCAACCCCACTCCGCCATAGGTGCTAGGAGCTAAGTCCTTCCTTAGCGACAGCAGGCCTAGTTTGACATTTTATAAGTACATCCCTTTTCTTCTGCCTTAGCAGAGAGAGTAAACCTGTCCCAGGCAACAGTGAAGAGCTTAGGCTCAGTGTGCATAAAACTTAACTCTTGGGGGGGAGGTTTAGAGAAACTTGGGGTTCTTGGGGGGGAGGTTTAGAGAAACTTGGGGTGTGTGGAGATAAGCACTAGGTCTTAGTCAACCCAGTAAATGCTGATATTGCACCTGCCCCGAGAAGACCTCTGCCAGAGCTCATAGTAAGCAGCAAAAGAGAGTTCTGCCTCCAAGTGGCTCAAGATGGAGTAGAGACTTGAGGTGTTACCAGGTAGCTGGACATGAAGTGAGGAGCAGCGAGCTCTGAACAAGTGGGTAGAGGCCTGTGGCAGCCGGGAGGAGGTGGAGCGAGCAGCTCAGTCTGAAGAAAATGTGCTTTTCAACCAGTAAGTGAAAGGGAGTGTTTGAGGCAAAGACTTTTGTGAGCAAAGGCTCTGGTGGCTGACAGGGCAGCAGGGTGTGTGGTTTCCATTTAGCAGAGAAGGAAGGACCTGAGAGCCAGGATCTGATGTGTTTGGAATTCCTGGTCTAAGTCATATTGGCTTAAATGCTGTATGAAAGGAAGGGCCTGTAAACTTTTGAACTGAAGGAATTGTTGATCTGAACCATGTCTAGGGCAGAGGTCAATACATTTTTTCTGTAGAGGGTCAGCTGACGAATAATTGGAGGGTTTTCTGACTATATAGTCTCTGTAACAACCACTCAGTGCTGATGTTTTAGAAGCATGAATGCAGCCAGATAATATGTAAAGGATTGGATGTGGCTGTGTTCCAGTAAAGCTTAATTTACAAAAACAGGTGGCAAGCTGATTTGGCCCAGGGCCCTAAGAGGGTAATTTGAGTGGCAGCTGTTGAGGTAGGATGGATGGGTGGGTGGGAGACTCAGAAGTAAGAAGGCTGGTCCTGTTGTAAGAGTCTAGTGGTGAGGGAACTGGCATGGGAGCCAGAGTGATGGGAGTGGACCAGGAGTGAGAGGATTGTGTCAGGTTGTCAACAGCCTGGTCATTGACTTGGGGCAGGAGATGGGGAGGAGATAGAAGCCACATGCTGTTCTGTGTCTCAGGCCTGTGGGAATTGGAAGTTAATGACAAAGCTGTATTAACTGGGAGAGAAAACTATGTGCATGCAAGGAAGGTGATGGAGATTTGTGTGCACTGGAAGCACAGCATTTCTGGCAATGTGCAGGTGGAGGTTAGGGCACTTGGAGGGATGGGGAGCCTAGGGCTGAACGTGGGATCCGGGAATCATCCATATCGAGTGGGATGCTTTTTATATGGTAGGAATAGTTTTATATGGTAGGAAGAGGTTCTAGAGAAGAGGACTGGAATGGAAACTGCAAGTTAATACCTTCAAGATGTTGGGCCCTTGTGTGGTAGCTATGTGCTTGGTGAAGTTTTCCAGAGAGAAACATGGGGTTTTATCGTATTTCTAAAAAAATGAAATGGGGCTAATAGTTGAAATTATGGCTCAGGAGGTAAAGAGTCTCTTGGTCAGTGACAGGACCCAGATTTGGATCCAGATACTTCTTAGGACAAGGGACTTGCTCTTTTCACAATACCACCTTGCTCTTCCTGGTGATGAGAGGACATGGTGCACAGTGAGGAAGCTAGAATGTAGTAGAAATGACAGCTTTTCAAAAAAAGCTCCACACTTCAACTTTTGCCCTTGTTTAGGCTGCAGGCACTCTCTACAGGAACAAATAGCTGACGGGACGGCTGGGTCTGCCTGGCATCATCTTATCAGATTTGTTGCTTTTGGCTTGAAGTTGTTGCCAAACTCCAAGCAAAGCCAGGGTACAGCGGGATCTCTGCAGTGGTCCCAAAACAGTTGGTGTGAGCATCTGAGTCTAAAAATAGTATATTAGCTTAATTTTGTTCAAGGAGTATAATACCAGTGTATCAACTTTGTCCTCCTAATTGTAATGTCTAAAATAACTGAAAATTTTACTTTTTTTTATCATCAGGGACACAGTAGAGTCTAATATTAAGCCCTTGTCAGTCTGTAAATGATTGTTTTTTATCCTATTATGCTGGGTCAGGAGTTCCATATAGTCTCAGGGGTCCTACATATATCTGATTCAGACATCATTTTTAAAAAAACAAATGTAACAGCTGCATGTAAATTTATAATTATCTAAAACAAAAAGTTAAAATATTACAAAGCATGTTCTCCTTTAAAATGTTATATACTTGGATTGCCTGAGCCCATGGGTTCGAGACCCACCTGGGCAACAAGACCTCATCTCTACAATAAATCAAAAAATCAGCCGGGCATCGTAGTGCATGCCTGTAATTCCGGCTACTTGGAAGGCTGAGGCGGAAGGATTGCCGGAGCCCAGCAGGTCGAGGCTGTGGTGGCCGGGAGCGGCCACTGCACTCCAGTCTGGGTGACAGAGTGAGACTCCAACTCAAAAACAAAAAAAACAAAAAAAAAAACAAATGTTATATACTTCACTGTAATACTTTGGAGCCTGCTCAAGTATTTATTTTGTGCTGCCAAGGCAATTATTTTGTGTGTGTGTGTGTAGAATTTATAGTTTCTCTTGCTATCTTGGTTTAGTAGGATAATGTTCTAGAGTGTAAGGTGAATGACACAGTTAAATACTTGCCAATAACAGTTTTTACAAATAACACCCAGAAGCTTCTCAGTACCAGGTAGCTCATGCATCTTTACAGAAGTAAATGCTGGAGTTGGTAAGACTGCAGGTGGCCTGCCAGCACCTGCTGTTTGTGGGTTATACTCATCAAAATGGCCTTATCATTCTCATTGGTGATATAGAAGTAAATCATGTTAAACATTTGAATTTAGAAAACAAGTTTAACCTGAAGAGCTACTAAAACTGTTTTTTGCAGTAAGATTCCACTCACATTTTATTTGAAACAAGTATTCTACTACCTTTTAAAAGTGAAAAGCCACATCTCTAGAGAAACTTGCTTGCCCCCTGTATCTGATATGTTCCTTCAAACCAAACATCCTTGGATGGAACCGGTTGGGGACACTCATGTCTGTCTATAACTGGGCTTTGAGGATCCCCGTGAACTTTTGCACTCTTCTTGTGGCTTCCCTCCTGACAGAAAGAGTACTTCAAGCAGTATGAAGTGGGGCTCCAGAATCTGTGCCATTCCTACCAGAGCCGCGCTGACTCGCGGGCCAAGGCCTCTGAGGAAAGCCTGCGTACCTCCGAGAGGAAGCTTCGTGAGACAGAGGAGAAGCTGCAGAAGCTGAGGACCAACATCGTGGCACTCCTGCAAAAGGTGCAGGAGGTGAGCCAGGCAGCCCTCCTGTTGCAGCTGGACCACCTGGTCTCTTAGGGAGGGGGGCCTGGGTACCTCCAGTTCCTTTCTCATAGGAATCTATCCACTCACAGGAATCTATGGTTCAACCCTGGCTGCGCAACGTCCTGACCTTGAGGGCTTGAGGTGGTGCGGCTGCCTGGGCCTCATCCCAGCTAGACCCACAGAACCAGACTTTTCCCCTTGTTTAGACATTCTGATGTACAACCTGGTTTGAGAACCCTCCAAGCCATACAAAGTTCTCGATTTTCCAGATGACACCCCAATGGGATTGGGTAGCCCAGAAGTGGGATGTGCCCTTTAGGGGTTGGTTCTTCATCTAGGCAGTAAACACTGAGGGGCCCACTCTGTGCCTGTCCTTAACAGGACAGGACCGAGAAGGTTCTTGCTCTCACAGCCCGACAGTCTGGTGGTGAAGTCAGAATTACTGATGGTGGGAAGTGCTGTGATACCATAAGGAGATACAGTAACCTGTAGGAGGCTACTTTACTAGGGTGTACAGGGTGGTCTCTGAGGGGGTAGTATTTGAGCTGAGACATGGAAAGAATAAGAAACAAGTGTTCTAGGCAGAGAGAAGAGCAGGACTTAAGGCCTGAGCGGGGATTTGTGGAGGTTAGGAACAGAGTCAGGGTCTGTACAAAGTGGGATTTGATTTCAGGAGCAAGGGGATATCACTGGAGGGGAGTGTAATGATTCAGTTTTCAATCTTCTGGTTGGCTGGAGGAGGCCAGGAGTGGTGGAGGGTAGAACCGGGACCTCTGTGAAGAGGCACTCAGTGGTCTGGGTGAGACGTGGGATAGAAGCAGGGTGGTAAGAGATCTGGGTGTTGTCAGTGCACAGTAGATGGCGAGGGGAGAGTGATCAAGACTGGACAGAAACCTGACAGCCAGGGTAAGGGAGAGGGGAAGGGGACTCTGGAGCTGGGAGAGGGGTAGGTAAGTCCCCTACCATCTTCTGGCCCCTGACTGACCCTTAACCTTGCTCTGTTCCAGGACATAGACATAAACACTGATGATGAGCTGGATGCCTACATTGAGGACCTCATCACCAAGGGAGACTGAGGGTCAGAGCCAGAGATCAGCTCCCCTGCCCACCTGGCCCTCAATGCAGTATCTTCGGGGGGTGGTGAGGGATTCATTCATGGGTTGGTGGACTTAACCTTGGTTTGACTTACACATGGGACATTTGTGCTTTTGGAGGGAAAGATACTCTGATTCTTTGAATCTTCCTCCCTACATTTATAAATATTTATTTTTTAAAAGAAACAAGATGCCGTGCCTGTGAGACCATACTTTGTGTGTGTGTGTGTGTGTGTGTGTGCGCGCGCGCCTGTTGGTGTGTAGACAGGAAGTTTCCACTTTTACCACACAGGATTGACAAGCCTGAACCTCTTCAGCTTCCTGGTTCCTCAAGAAAGTGGTGACTCCAGTGCCTCAGTGAAGTCGGAGAGGCTCCAGGGGCAGGACTGGTTTTTCTCTTAGAGGATGAAGCACATGGGGATCTGAGGGATGGGGGGAGAGGCCCCCTAGAGCGGTGGTCCCCGGGGGCTCAGATCCAGGGGACCTACGAGAGGGCTGTGTATCAGGGTTCTGCGTTGGAGGAGCTCTTCCTCTTACCCCCTGTGTCTGGCCAGGGATGTTAGCATCTTCAGCCATCCCAAGCAGCTGTCAGAGTCCTCTTGGCTATGGCATTGTCTCCAGACAGCTTGGGAAAGATTCTTGCTGTCTAACCACCTTATCCCGCACTCAGGTTCTCTCTGAAAGGACTTTCTCGGTTTGCCATGGGCAGTGAGGTTTCTCACCTCAACAACTTGATTCCAGGTTGTGGAGATATGCTACTCTGGTCAGATTTCTGATGTAGGTAGCATTGAATGCTGGCACTCCACAGAAATCCTTAGGGAAGGAGCTTGCGTGTGAAAGCGCCCCCATTGCTGAGCTGGCCAAGACCTCTGCCCATGGGTGTGGCAGGACCTCAGTTGGTGCTGGTTGATCTCAAGAGGCTGTTGCTGCTTTTTCCACTTCCCCCTTTGCCTGGCCCCACCAAGCCCAGTCAAGGTCCCTGCTCTGGTGAGTGGTAAGTGCCTCCACCTCCCCCCCACCTTGGGACTCAAGAGGCAGTTTTGCAGGAAGCATACCGTATGCCTTTTCTCCCTGTCCCATCATAGCTCCAGACTGTCCCTCAAGCAACTTCTCTGGGTCAGAGACAGGCAAGAGTTGCTGAGTTTTCTCTTGAGTGGCCGTTGGAAGAAGTCTGGTTCAATGTCCCCTAACTCTTCCCACTTCTATTTGTGGCTTCTGGGTTTTCTGAAGGGACAAGAACTATGACCTTGTACCATTGACTTGTGATTCAAACCTGTTTGGGTGTGTTTCCTGCGTCTACCTAACCCAAGTCAGCAGTGGCCACCCTGCTGCTCTGTGAGGTGTGCAGAAGATTGGGAAGTAGCAGTGAGGGATGTGGGCCACACTGGAACAGGAAGTCTTTCCCCACTTGTGTACGTGACCAACACACCTGTAACTGGTGGGATTTGGCTTCCCCAAACCACATCTCTAGGAGAGGGCTATTTTGGGGAATACCACTGAGAGAGGCCCTGGCCTAAGATTATCCAAGAGTCTCTGGGTTTCTTGAGCTAGTGGTTTCCCTACCATCCAGCTGTTTCCGTTCATCCTAGGCAGTAGATGGTCCATTTTAATCCACAAACCTGTTTAAAAGGGAGCTGGTTCTGCATTTTACCAGAGGGTAATACTCAAGTTTTTCTTGTTTTTTGTTTAACTTATACACAACCAAAATGCAACACTACAAACTTCTGCTGGTGAGGCTTTTGAACTCAGTCTGTTCTTCTCAGGAAAATCCAGCACCTTCCTCGTCTTCGTGCTTTCTATCACTGTGGCTTTCAACTTCTTTAATGTCTTCCTCATTTCCACCATCTTCATGGTTTTATTCCACCTTCTTTAGTGTCCACAGAAACAATTTAAATGTCTTAGGTTCAACTTTTGAATGTGCCCACTTTACTGTGTGAATCGTGCCACTGCTGTGCTGAATGTAGCCTGTTTGCCAGGTGGAGATCTTGCCATTCTGGATGGAAAGATAAAATATAGGGGTTTCTTCTTCCTCTTATCTGCGAATATTAAGGGAACCACCTTGGAACTGTCTGATAACTTGGGAGAAGGGAGATAATTTGGCTAATCTGTGGCAGGAAGATCCTTTCTACAAGGTTGCAAGAAGTGAGTGGAGGGCAGCAACCCTGGTTTTTAGAAAGAGAGGGAGACTTTCCTAAGGGCGTTTGTTTTAAGTGACACATGCATGTGGTAAACATTCAAACAGTACAAAAGGCTGGACCATGAAAAGCAAAGCTTCCTCTACCTGATCCCTGAACTCTCCCTGGAGTGTGTATCCATCCTGAGCACACACATCTACTCTGTTCCGTTTCCCACTTAATGTAGCTTGGAACCGGTTTCAGAATAACCCATGTGAGTCTACCTAGCCTGAACAATCACAGAGCATCTCATCTTGGATGTACTGTCATCTGTCTACTTATAAACATTTGTTTCTAACATTTATGAAAAATGCTGTATGTGTGTATTTATTAACTACTTTGGATCTGTATAGTATAGGATAAATTCCAAAAAGAGAAATGGCTGTCAGTGAGTGCATTAAAAGTTCTACGATTGCCAGGTGTGTGGGATCTCATGCCTGTAATCCCAGAATTTTGGGAGGCTAAAGTGGGAGGATTGCTTGAGGTCAGGTGTGTGAGACCAACCTGGGCAACACAGCAAGACCTTGTCTCCACACAAAAATTAGCCAAGTGCCTTGGTGCATGCCTGTAGTCCCAGCTAATCAGGAGACTGAGGTGGGAGGATTGCTTGAGTCCAGGAGGTCAAGACTGTGATGAGCTGTGATCATGCCACTATACTTGTGTCTGGGCAACAGAGTGAGACCCTGACTTAAAAAAAAATCTGGCTGGGCGTGGTGGGCAAAGCCTGTAATCCCAGCACTTTGCGGGGCTGAGATGAGAGGATTGCCTGAGCCCGTGGGTTTGAGACCAGACAGGGCAACACGGTGAGACCTCGTCTCTACAATACATCAAAAAATTAGCTGGGCGTGGTGGCGCCTGCCTGTGGTTCCAGCTACTTGGAAGGCTGAGGCGAAAGGATCGCCTGAGCCCAGCAGGTTGAAGCTGGGGTGGCCGTGAGCATGCCACTGCACTCCAGCCTGGGCAATGGAGTGAGACTCCAACTCAAAACAAAAAACAAAACAAAAAAACCCCTAAGTTATATTCCCACACTACCTTTCAGTAAAGACTTCAGTTTTGACTCTTATCGTATCTCCTCCCCACTTATATGTGGCCACTTATATTTTATTTACTAATTTGAAAGGTGAAAAGTGATGGATGTTTGAGTCAGTTTGAGTTAATCAAATGAAGTTGAGCGTTTTCATAGGCTAGTAGCATTTCTTTTCTGGAATAGGCCTATAGTTCTAATCTTAAGTCAGGGACCTTTTGGTAAATCAGATGAAAAGGGGCAAAGCCCTCAGGAAAAGGTCCACTTTACAGGACCCCTCAACCTCTAAGCGTCCCAGGGATTTAAGATTAAAAACCCCACTTTAGGATAAATGCTGTCCAAGTCAGGAAAAGAGTATGACAGTTTTATTAAAGGAAGGTTTGGTTTAACAACAGATTGAGAAAAACTGGTCCCTTCATATTTATCTGAGCGACAGACCCATGGCTTAGGCACTGTTCACAGCTCTAATGTCTTAAGCCTCCAGACTTCTTTGGCATTTACACAGAACTCAAGGCTTGGTCTAAGTGGACTGTACTTCCACTGGCTACTTGTCCCTGATGGAAAGTCATTCTGCAGCTGAGCCAGGTTGTAAGGAACCCACTGACAATTGCCAAGGAGCCTGAAGCATTCTCAAAGTTCCAGAGGAGGGTTATGGCCTTTGATGGAGATAGAATCTCCAAGGCATTCTTTGAAGCGGCTACATTGCTTTTGGTTCTCAGAGCAGGTGACCAGCCAATGTGGCCATGGAGGCAGAACTGGCAAAACATGCCTTCTCTGCTGCCATATTTGAGGCCTCAGACTGTCAGTTCTCAGTGCTGCTGAGCACTCCCTCTCCCCTGAGAACAAGAGACAGACTGCACGGGGGAAGGACCTGGCAAGGCACTTCCCACTCTGTCAATGTGCCAAATATTCCCAAGGCCTGTTTTTCAGTCTGGCCACTTTCATCCAGCAACTTGCAAAGTGTCGGGCTCAACCAGGGCTGCTGATGGGTCCAGCAGAAATGGTCTTCTTCCAGCTTGCTTACTCTGCTCCCTCCCCCTTCTTTCTCTAAAATAAGGGAGTTGGATGATGAGAGATTCCTGCTTATTTAACCACGGGGCCAGTTATCCACTTGAAATGTATCCAGAAGCCCAAACAGAAAACCAGTAATACTGGAGCTACTCTGGTTGAAGTTGGGATGGAGAGGCCTGGAGTCCCTTGTTGCCCCGGCCACCCGATCTTTGCTACCCGTAGACCCTCAGCTGATTACTCAGTGGCCCATGTGGAGTTAATGTGCTTACTCCATGACCATCCTCTTCTGTTTTTGTTTTTTGAGTTGGAGTCTCTTTGTCCCCAGGCTGGAGGGCAGTGGCACGCTCACAGCCACCGCAGCCTCAACCTGCTGGACTCAGGTGATCCTTCTGCCTCAGCCTTCCAAGTAGTTGGAATCACAGGCGTGAGCCACCACGCCTGGCTAATTTTTCTATTTATTGTAGAGTCAAGGTCTCCCCAAGTTGCCCAGGCTGGTCTTGAACCCCTAGGCTCAAGCAATCCTCTGGCCTCTGCCTCCCAAAGTGCTGGGATTACAGGTGTAAGTTACTGCACCCAGCCTTCCTTATGCCCTTCTAACCATCTGGCCAGTTTCAGCATCCTCCAAGGATGGGCCTCCATTGGCCCTGCACCGCATTTTCTGGGGCTCTGTCATCTCAGCAGCTGCTGGCCAATGCCTGGAAGGTGGAGGAGCTCATGCCACTGAGTCAAACCTTTGGATCACTGAGAAGGCAAGGGTCAGACACATCGTTCCTCCTTTCTTATTCCCTCTGGACTCTGAGATGCTTCCAGAAAGTCTCTGGGGCCCCTTCCTGCTCCAGTAACTGCAGTTTCTTGTGGAGCTGTGGCTAGCTCTGATCCACTACTTGGATTGACTGTCCCTCCTCCCCTCACTTCTTTTCTTATTGAAAACTCTGGGCTCTCCCTCTCCTCCCCAGTGCCCCACCACTTAAACCAAT